CAAGTCCGACTGTACGACGGGGGTGTGGCACATGAAGGGGTGTGGTGCCAATCGTGGAAATGTGTAGGTGTTGTCTACGACGGGTGGCATCGCCAGATTCAGCATTGGCACCACACCCCTTATACCACACCCCTTTCCGACCTTCAGAGTTTTGGCACAGTCTTTGCTTCGCGGCCAGGAGGCAGAGGAGGAGGAGGAGGTGGAGGAGGAGGAGGAGGAGGGGGGAGGAGGAGGAGCTGGTCCAACACAGCGAGGGCACCAGCGGGGTTTGCGCTGAGCTGGTTGCCAGTGGACGTGTGCCGATGGGGGCCAAGCGGCAGCCGGCTGCCGGATGCAGGAGGGAAGAGCCGACTCTTTGCAGTGCGCGTGCGGAGGCGTGCGGTGGGGCCGCAGGAAGCGGTCGCGCCCGAGCGTTGCGGGCGACCCGTGGGGCGTTCTGGCACACGCACGCACACGCACGCGTGACACACGACGCACGCACGCACACACGCACCCGTGGCGCCGAAGGCCCCGAGGAGGAGGAGGAGGAGGAGAAGGAGGAGGAGGAGGAGGAGGAGAAAGAAAAACGGGAGGAGGAGGAGGAGGAGGAGGACGAGGAGGAGGAGGAGGAGGAGGAGGAGGAGGGCGAAGAGGACGGAGGAGGAGGAGGAGAGGAGGAGACGAGGAGGACGAGGACGAGGAGGAGGAGAGGAGGAGGAGGAGGAGGAGGAGGGGGGGGGGGGAGGGGGAGGGGAGGAGGAGGAGGAGGAGGGGAGGAGGAGGAGGAGGAGGAGGAGGAGGAGGAGGAGGGTGCACGCACACACGTGTGACACTCGTGACGCACGCACACACAAAAGTTCCGTCGATATGCGGGGTCTCCCCGGGCGGTGCGCTTGAGGAGGGGCCTCGCCCTCGAGGGCCGAAAGGAGCTGCTGGGGGTGACTGCTGAGTCGGGCGTGTCCCCCTACGGGGGGATTCTCAACGAGAAATAAAAAATAGTCGAAACATACCCCGAACAGGTCGAACAAATGCCCAACAAATAGTCCCCAGACTATGTTTTAACTGTTTTTTGATAATGTTTGGGGTATGTTTTTTGGGGGGAGTCTCGACGAGAAATCAAGGATACTCCAAACAGATTCCATAATGGTCAAACAATACGCCAAATAAGTATACACAAATCCCAGGATTCCCCATATTTTCCCGTATCTTCTGGAGCTTCGTCTTCCCCCCCATTTCCCACATTTCCTTAAGTCGGGCGTGTCCCCCTCGACGAAAAATCAAAGATACTCACAACATCTCCCATAATGGTCAAACAATGCTCAAAACATAGTCCCTGACTATTTTTTTAACTATTTTTGAATATGCCCCCTCTAGAGGGACAGGCCCGACTTGAGGTGACTACTATGGGGGTGGATTGCTGCCCTCTATTGATCGTTGCCGTCTTCGATCAAGTTCAAGGTAAAGTCGGGCGTGTCTAGTCGGGCGTGTCCCTCTACAGGGGAAGTATTCAAAAATAGTCCAAAAATAGTCAGGGGATTATGTTTGGAGTATTGTTTGACGATTCTGGAGTATTTGTTGAATCGTTTTGAAATTTTAGTCGAAAATCCCCTTGTAGGGGGGCACGCCCGACCTCACTCTATGGACCGTTGCCCTCTTCGAGCAAGTTTGGACCCTCCTGGACTCCTCGGCCGGCGCGCCCCGCGGCGATCTCGGCCGGTTCCGCGCCCGCCCCCCCGGAGCCCAGAGCCACCCCCATTACGGAGCCCCTGTTTTGAGCCATCTCTTCTCTCCCCGGCATCCAGGGCTCGAGGGCGTCATGCAACGTCCATGGACGGCGTCTTTGAAGGGGCCCCAGGACACACGAATAAATACACAAATGAAAATATTCCCGATATTATCCTATATTTTCTGGGTGTTTGTCTTCCCCCCCACTTCCCATATTTTCCCATATTTGTTCGGGAATCGACGATTAATTGTGTCTGTGTGTTTTTTTCCCCTCCTGAGTCTTCGTGGTCCAGATTTTTCGGCGCGCGTGGCGCGTGTGGCTCTGCAGACGCAAACACATCATCATGTGTACACATCGATCTATTGCGAAGGCCTCACGAACTGCGCCGCCGACCCTGTATGCGCCGTGAGTCTCCTTCGAGGAGGAGGCGAGGAGGGACTCCCCCCCCGGGCCCTCCCCCCTCGCGGGAAGGGATCCAGGGGAAGGGGCACAACGCTTCTCAGCTTCCCTTGCTTCGGAAGGGAACGCGGAGGGAGCCTATTCTGACCCAGGACCCCTCTGCCCCCTGAGACCCCCCTCCCTCGCGGAGAATGGATCAAAGGGAAGGGGCTTCTTTTCGAATTAGGTACGACGCTTCTCAATCTATCTTCGGTCGAGGAGGAAGGCGCTGGAGGAGGGCGCCCTGGGGAACGGGTGGGGGCAGCGACGACGACGACAGTTATGGGGTCACATGAAACAGCGTCTCGTACATGCCAGCAGGGTCGACGGATTCTCAAATGCACATGCATTTAATCGCTTCGCTCATTCCGCCGGCCCGTATTGTGCCATTGCAGGCGTTTGCTTGCGCGTTCGTGGCCTCTTGGAGCCTCGTTGGGGCCGTTTGGGGCCTCTTGGCGCCTCTTTTTAGGCCTCTTGGAGAACTCGGGAGGCCTCCAGGGGGCCTCCTGAGCTCTCGTGACGGTCTCTTGGGGGGCTTTCGGCGGGCTCTTGGCGGTATTTGTTGGTCCTCTTGGGGCCTGGGGCCTGACGTTGTTGGTCCTCTTGGGGCCTCACGGGAGCTTATTGGGGCGTCTTGGGGGTGTCTTGGAGAGTCTCTTGGGGCCTCTTTCGGGGTCCTGGGCGCCTTCTGGGGCGGAGGGCTCGATTTTTCAGTTCTCGGTTCCCTTCTTGAGCCCCTCTTGGGCCCGTCTTGGGGCCTCTTGGTCCGCCTTGGGCAGCACTTGGGCCGTCTGGGGGGCGCTCTTGGGCCGCTCCGGGGCCGTCTTGGGAGCCTCGTGGGCCGTCTTGGAGCAGTCTTGAAGGCCTCTTGGGCCCTCTTGGAGCGTCCGGAAGCGAAAAGGCCAGAACGCAAACAAACATCGAAAAAAACAATGAAAATCAACGATTTTGGCAACTTGGGGCCCTCTTCGGAGGCCTCTTGGAAGGCCCTTGGAGCGTCTTGGAGGCCTCTTGGGCTGTCTTGGGGCCATCTGGGGCGTCTTCGGGCGATCTTTGGCCGTGTCGGGCTTCTCTTGGACCGTCTAGAAAGCTTCTCGGGGCCCTCTTGGACCGATCTGGAGCCCTCTTGGACTCCGAAACAGAACTCTGGCATCTCTGACCCGACCTTGCCGGGGACTTGCCGGGACCTTGCCGGGGTACTTTTCGTCCGGGGACCCCCAGGGGCCGCCCCGCGCGCGCGAACTAGAAATACTGTTAACCAGGTGCTGGAGATCTTAGCACGCCCTGGCCCGTTGGGCCGGCGAATTTATCCCATCTTTATCTTGCCCCCAGGAGAGCGGAAGGCCACATACGAGACTGCCACACTGAACATCAAGCAGAATAAAGAGATCATTTCCCAGATGAAGGAGGAGAACAAGAAGCTGCGCTCCAGCATCGCAGATATGAGATTGGAGAAACCCCACTCCATTGAGCAGCAACTGGAAAAGACGATGTCCGAAGTGCAGGCCTTGCAGCGCAAGTACGACACCCTCAAGGCAGAGAACGTCAAGAAGAAGTCTCACTATGACTCGCTGACGGTGAAGTCAAAGGACCTCAAGGTCGGCTCGCAGATGCACACCAGCGAACGGTCCCCCGAAATGCGACAGATCCGCGTGCTTGAGAACCGCCTGGACAAGACGATGATCAAGTACAACGAGGCCATGAGCATCCGCAAAACCTACGAGGCCATCGTGAAGAGACTGAAGGAGGAGCGGATCGGTTTTGACAACCAGCTCGAGGGGATCGAGCGGACTCTGAAGGCCAAGGAGAGGGACTACGAGGAGTTGCTGCTGCTCTCCCACGACGCCTACCACGCCAAGGAGATGGCCCAGGCCGAGCTGCACCGCTTCGAGCAGGGAGTGATGGAGGAGCGGAACCAGCGCGACAAGGAGGTGCAGGAGAAGAAGGCCCTCGTCGAGCAGCGGGTGGCCATGAACAAGCGCCTCGAGCAGCGCGAGAAGTACCTCAAGTCGCAGCAGGACCTCGACAGGGCCGGCGAGCGCCAGCTCAAGGAGATGTCTGCCACCTCCGACCTCACCGCGGGCATCTCCAACGACTACGCCCAGGAGGAGCGCCAGAAGCTGCTGGACTACGAGGAGGCCTTCCACCAGATCAAGGAGGCCACGGGCGTGAGCGACGTGAACGAGGTGATCCAGAAGTTCCTCACCCAGGAGGACACCCAGAAGAACCTGTCGAGCCTCACGAAGGAGAACCAGGCCACCATCGACCGCCTGACCGAGGACTGCCGGAGACTGCGCCTGCAGGTGGAGGAGCTCAAGTTCTCCAGCGGCGGCAGCGTCGGCAGGCGGCAGGCCATCGACGACTTCGAGACGCACCTGGCGGAGGCGACCGAGAAGTTCGACCGCAACAAGGGGAAGTTCGAGCGTATGGCGAAGATTCGGACGGACATGAAGGCTGGCATAGACCACCTGGCCGAGAAGCTGGCGCCCATCAAGCTCCAAGACGAGGTGCCCGTGGAGCTGAGCGACGAGACCGTGGAGGAGGTGCTGCAGGTGTGCGAGCACAAGATCAGCAAGCTGATGTCCCTCACGACGATGGATGAGAACATGTCGAAGAAGATGCTGGACGAGGACCGGTTCTCCGGGCCCGCCGAACACTCCGAGGCGGGGACTCGTGCACAGCCGACGCCCGATCTGCGTGGACCTCGGCAGGCTGTGATTCCCCGCGCAGTGCTTGCGCCCATGGGGTTCTTGCTGGGGTTCTGGCGTGTCTTCCGAAGAGCGGGGTCTGGCTGGCGGTCTGGCCGGCTTTCGCCGCCCGTCGCCGCCCTCCGTTTGCGCCCGGGTGGCGGTGCGGCTGGCTTGGCGCCGCCCGTCGCCGCCCCTCGCCGCCGCTCGCCTGGGCCCTGGGTGGAGGTCGGTCCGGCTGGTCGCCGCCCGTCGCCACCGCCCGCCTGCAGCGCACGGCGTGGCGCCGCGTGTCGTTGCGGTGCCTCGCCGTGCACTGAGCCCGCGGTGGCCTCCAGGGCGCGCTAGCGATATCCCTGGCGGCGCCCAGGCCCAGGCAGGCCCGCGAGGACTTCTCCTCGGATCGCGACGGGCCCCGCCCCTCCCCGGCGCGGGGACCGCGCGATGGGCGGCGCCGGAGGCGCCGCCAGGGGCCGATGCGAGAGATCCGCGCGGGCCCGCGGAATCAAAGCAGTGGCGAAGCGTCCCGGCTTCCGCGTGAGCCCACCAAAGAGTGTTCTGAGGACCTTTCGTGGTCTGCGCGAAGTGTTTTTAGAGGCATTTCTGGCCGAGTCTGATTTTGCTTATCACATCGGGCTTAATGTTCTAAGGACGATGTTTTTGTTCGTAGGACACTTGTGGGTTCTAAGAATATGTCGTGGTAGGCCTGTAGGAATGCCAGGACGGTCGGTCCCTGCTCAACGAAATTTCATGCTTATGTCGTTGTCGGTTCACTTGTCCAGGTACGAGGAGAAGTTGATGAGCCAGTCGATTGCCCGGATCAAGCTGGCGGACAAAGAGGAGGAGGCGGACGACGACGAGGACGACTTCGATGGCCCACAGGGCGCAGACGACGAGGACGTCCCGCACCGGAAACAGGTGAAGGGCAAGAGCGAGCAGATCCTGGAGAAGCAGAAGACCAAGAACGGAAAGAAGGCTCAGAGGAGGAACAGGTACGGCAGATTTGTGTCGCGTCGACGCGGCGGCGACCCCGCTGCTGGCGTTCAAGGTCGAACGCTGCCAGTGGCTCTAGCATTCGAGAAGTTGCCGATCGTTCATGGTTGAACGATCAACGCTGTGTCAGGAACGTACTCCGGGTTCGTCACGACACAAAGCTGCCGTACCGATACCGCTACCCCTCCTCGTTTTTGTCTTTTTTGGCCTCCTGGGAGGCCCTCGTCGCCACGATTGGATTCCCTTTGAAGTCCTGATCAGAACGCAGCCCTGGAGAGGTCCGGGGGGTGTCGGCATCGGTACTTCTGGAGTCCCCAGGCGAAGGCCGCCAAGAAGAAGGAGGGGGCCTGAGGGCCCCGGCCCGCTTTTCCCTTGCCGCTTAAGCTGCATGACGCTGGCCTCAAGTCGGGCACGTCCCTCTAGAGGAGGAACCCCTAAGAATAGCTGAAAGATGCGCTGTCGGGTGACGATTTGTCGACTATTAAGAACTAACCAAACGAAACACAACTATGTTTGACGATTGTTTGATTCCTCTCGCTTCGCGGGGTGCACGTCCGGAGTACGTACAGTCAAGTCGTGTTGGGGGTTCTCGGGAGTCTCTTGGGGACTTTTTGGGGGTCTTTTTAGGCTTCTCGGGGGCGTGTTGAGCCGTGTTGGGCGCTGTTGCGCCGTTTGGCCCCTGCGGAGGCCGTACTGGGGGCCTCTCGCGCCCCCCTTGGGGCTCTCTTGGGGTCCTCTTAGGCCGTCTCGGGGGCTCCTTGGGCCGTCTTGGGGACCACTTTGGGCCGTCTTAGGGCCCTCTGGGGCCGTCTTGGGGTCCTCTCGGGCGTTTCTTGAGCCGTCATGGGGCGATTTTGGAGGCTGCTTGGGTCGTCAGGCGTCGAAAAAAGCGAGAACGCGAAAATGCTTCAAAACCCTATGGAAAATCAACGATTTGGGTTTGCTGAGGCGCCATTGGGGCTCCTCACGTTGCATTAAGGCGTTCGCCAGAATCTTTCAAAACCCAATGGGAAATCAATAATTTTTGTTTCTGGAAGCGCTCTGGGAGGTCCTCTTGGCGCCTTCTTGGGGCGTCTGTTTTTTTGGGGGGCCCTCTTGGGGCCATCCTGTACCGTCTTGGTCACGTCGTCGCGGGGCCTCGTGGGAGCCTCTTGGGGGGCCTCCTGGAGGCCCCCTGGGAGCTTGTTTGGGCCTCCTGGGGGAGTCTTTGGGGCCTCTCACCTCTCCCTCCTTCTCACACTCCCTCCCCATACTCCAGATTTCGTAATAAAAGGGAGGGGGTCAGGACCCTCCAAGACAAGCTATTTCAGACCCCCCCTCGTGGGAGAACCCTCCCAAACATCGTCCCCAGACCACCCCAGGCCCTCCAAGATAGCCTGGAAGAGACCCCCCCGAAATGAGACCCCCCTCCCTTTATTATTACGAAATCTGGAGTATCCCCTTCCAGCGCCAGCTCTAATCATGGGCGCCGCCGTGACCAACTTCCACCTGGCCGGCGCTGCGCCGCACTTCGCCCAGGGGGGGAAAAAGACAGCACATTCCAGTCGCTGCTGCGCCGCACTTCGCCCAGGGGGGAAAAATGACAGTACGTTCCAGTCGCTGTGTGGGCGTTGGAGGGCTTCTATGGGGCCTTTTGGAGGCTTCTGTTCTTAGGGGCCTCTTGGGGGCTTCTTGGGGCCTCTTGGGGGCCTCTTGGGGGCCTCTTGGGGGCGTCCCGGGCCGTCGTGGGGCGTTTTTTCTACCGTTTCGCTCTTCGGAGGCCGTCTTGGGGGCCTCTCGCGGCCGCCTCGGGGCCCTCTTGGGGTCCTTTGGGCCTCTTTGGGCCGTCTTGGGGCCCTCTTGGGCCGTCTTGGGGCCCTCTTGCGGACTGTTTGGGTTGTTATGGAGCGATTTTGGAAGTTGCTTGGGCCGCAAAGGCGAGAACGTTGAAATATCGCCAACACCGTAGGACAATCAATGATTCCGGCCCCTGGAGGCGCAGTTTGGGGCCCTCTTGGGCCGTCATTGGGTTTTTGTTTGGCTCTCTTGGGCCCATCTTGAGCCGTTTTGAGGCCCTCGTGGCCCCCCAAGAGGCCCAAGAGGTCGAAATCACAGATGTTCTAAAAGGTTTGGTAGGTTTTTGAGCCCCGGGAGGGGGTGGCCACTTTGGGTCGACGGATGTGGCGTAGTCCCTGGTGGGGGGAGACATAATAATGTAACACAATACAATATGTTGCAAGTATGCAAGCTTTGGATACGTTGGATATGTTGCGTTAAAACATTCGCCGCAGAACGCTGCCGCTCAGCACGTCACCTCCGGACGTGGATTCCATAGGCTTAAGTCACTACTGCGCCTCCTGGGCTGCATTTCGCGCGTCTTGTCCGAATCATGACACGGCGCTCGACATCGTTCCTCTCCGTTGTTGTTACCGTACCTCCTGGTGTTCTTTTGTTGCCTTTTGGTGGCATCTTGGCCGGTCTGCAGGCCGTATCTGGCCGCCTCGAGGCATATTTGGCCAAGTTTTGGGGCCTCTTGGGGGCTTCCTGGGGGCGTCTTGGAGGCCTTTGAGGTTCTCTGGGGGGTCCCTCAGGGCCTCTTGGGGTGTTCTTGGGGCAGGCTGGGGGCGCAGCGGGGCCGAAGGCTCGAAAAGGTGTCCTCTGGATTCTGTCTTGGAGACGTCTAGGGGCCCTCTTGGCTTGTTTTGGGGGCTTCGTGGGCTGTTGTTGGACCCTCTTCGACCCTTCTTGGGAGCCCCCTTGGCCGCCTGGGAGCGATATTGAAGGTTTCTCTGCCCGTCTGGGAAGTTGTGAAAACCGAACGGGCGAGCATGCGAAACATGCTTGTTTTTTCTTAGAGAATGAGATTTTTGTTTCTTGAGACCCTCTTGGGGCGCAGCTTGGGGGCCTTTCTTGGGGGCGTCTTGGCGCCCCCTTGGGACCGTCTGGGGGGCGTTTTGGCGCCTTCCTGGCCAGTTTAGCAGCCCTCCGCTCCCCCGTGGCGCGTTCGGTCCGGGGTCGGGCTCGGGGGGTCAAATTGCCGGTTTGGGATCCCCGGGGGGGGGATTGCGGGGGGGATAAACCGCCCCTTGTGGGTCTTTTGGCGTGTGAGATGATCCCCCCCGTAATCCCCCCCCCAGGGACCCCAAACCGGCAATTTGACTCCCTCTCTGGGCCGAACCCGACCCCGGACCGAACGCGCCACGGGGGAACGGAGGGCTCCCAAACTGGCCCAACAAGGCGCCGAAACGCTCCCGAGACGGTCCCAGGGGGCCACGATTCGCCGAAATATCGCTCCTGGACGCCCCCGATGGCCTTCAGGTGGCCTCCGAAGCTGCCAAGACGCCCCAAAAGGCCCCCAAGATGCGCCCCAAGAGGGTCCCAGAAACAGAAGTCATCCCATTCCCAATGAAAAGCAAACATGTGTCGCATGCTCGCCTATTCGGCTTTCACAACGTGCCAGACGGGCAGAGAAACTTTCAGTATCGCTCCCAGACGGCCAAAGGGGCCCCCAAGAAGGGTCGAAGAGGGTCCAACAACAGCCCACGAAGTCCCCAAGACAGCCCAAGAGGGCCCCTAGACGTCTCCATGACGGAGTCCAGAGGGCACGTTTTCGAGCCTTCGGCCCCAAGACGCCCCCAGCCTGCCCCAAGAACACCCCAAGAGGCCCTGAGTAACACCCAAGAGAACCTCAATGGCCTCCAAGAAGCCCTCAGGAAGCCCCCAAGAGGCCCCAAAGCCTGGACAAGGATGCCTCGAGGCGGCCGGATATGGCCTGCTGACAGGCCAAGATGCCACCAAAAGGCAACATAAGGCCACAAACGAACACCAAGAGGTACGATAACAGCAACGGAGCAACAGGAACGATGTCGAGCGCCGTGCCATGATTCGGACAAGCCTCGTGAAATGCAGCCCCGGAGGCGCAGTAGTTTATATAACGGGTCGGCAGATGTGGCCTAAGCGTACAGAATCTGACACGCAAAGAGACCCACGAGGGGTCGGCGGACTACGTTTCAGTCTTCTTCCAGAATCCGCCTGTAGCAGAACGTGCCCGACCTGACGCTGGCCCTGCGGCCCTCCGTCTCATCTGCGGCCGCCTCCCCGTGTGGCGCAGTGCGCGCCCACCTGCGCCAATCCCGGTCAGGCCCATCGTGTGCCCAGAGTGAGGTCGGCGTGCGTGCCTGTCTGGCTAAGCCAGGAGGAGGAGGAGGAGGAGGAGGAGGAGGAGGAGGAGGAGGAGGACGGGGGAGGAGGAGGAGGAGGAGGAGGAGGAGGAGGAGGAAGAAGAAGAAGAAGAAGAGCGGCCTCGGGGAGCTGAGTCTGGCGCGTGCCTCGTGCTCTAGCCCCCGCCGTCGCCCGCACAGCGCGGGCGCCTTCACTCAGCTCACGGCGTCGCGCACGCCGAGCTTGAAATCGACCATGGCGTAGATAAGTCGGCCTCCATACAAATTCACTATCCTGCTGACCATGCAGCCAGCTCAACGTCCCTGACTTCCACTAGTGCCTTGCCCTCCTTGACCACCGCTCCTGCCTGCAGTGGTGTGTGGAGAATGGTATCCTGGAGCTGAGCCGCTGCAGCAGCTCCACTGTCGGTGTCTCCACGTTCTCTGCGTCCGTCTTGGGGCCCTGCACGATGAGCAGCGTGAGCAACGCTTGGTAGGACACGAAGCTCTTGCTGAGTTTGATGTATTAGACTTTGCGAAGTACCGTCGCTGCGTAGATCTGGTCCAGGAACTGGCAGTGCTCCGTGAGTGGCACTCTCGATTTGCCTCTCACGCCCTCTAAGCAGAGGGTCATAAACAGTGTCATGAAGGGTGGCCCCTCTGGTGGCCAGAAAGCGTGTCCTTTGCCCTGCGCCATGCCCTTCTCCGCGTAGAGTATGCGATTGGCCTTGAGGTCCTTGACTTTGTTCTGAATGGGCACGAGGTACGTGCTGAACACCGCTGCCACCAACCACTCCATCTGCTGCGCGTTGGCGAGAATTTGCATGATGATGAATACTGTGAGGAGCTTGGAGAGCTTGGAGAGGACTGTGGCCTTGTAGTTGACCGTACACGCTGCGCCTGAGTGGCCACGTCATGTGCAGTATACGCAATTCTTGAATTGAGGG